AGGAACGCATTAAACAAAGTTTAATGCGTTTCTATGGGGTTCCCCCCCCGCATTGCGATGTTTCTGGATAGCGACGATTAATCCGGAACAGATTAACGTCGCTATGCGGGGCACCACTGTATATAGTTTCTTTCCTACACAAATCTGTCTGTGCACAGGTGTACATATGTACACACCCATGATAAAGAAGAGAAAACCAGACGTCTTGCAGCACCTTTAAGATTAATTGATTTTTATTGTTCATAAACTCTGGTGAGTCCCAACACACTTTTTCAGATGAATGGACTGGCTGTTCTTGATGAGTGGGGGAGGGGGAGGCTAAACCTCCCCCATCACACAGCCATTCTGTTCAGCTGAAGACGTGCGTTTGGACACACAAGCACTTTTTGAAAAGTTAAAAGCAGTTCATCCTAGAGATGCTACAAAATCTCTGGTTTCTCTCGTGCTACAATGGATGAACCAGCTAGATTGTAACATAGATGGGTGCCAATAATTTACATATTGCTTGCCCAGGACCACATGCTGTGGCTTATATCCAGATTCTGGTATTTTATTTTCTTTCATTTTTGTTAGGTAAAAGATTTAATTTGCACATCATCCTTCTATGATGTTTAGGTGCATTTGCAGATGGGTGCTAAGCACATATGAACATGCCTTGCAGAGAGCGCCCCCCGTCTGCTCCTGTAAACTGCCAGTTGTTTCCTGCTTGGTGGCCCTTCCCTATTCTGTAGGGGCAAGACGACATATATTGGAAGACAAATAAGATGTCCTTGAAGAATCCCCTTCTCCTAGTGGGGGATATACATACATAAGAGCCAAAGCGTCCAAAGTGAATCATTCAATGGGTATGTGTGACTTGCCCACAAATAAAATTGTACCATTTACGGGGAAACATTTAAGCCCCATTTGGGACTTCATATCCCAATGGTGGGAGGAGAGGTAGAGTTAGGTGTGCTGTCTCTGACGCCCGTCACACATCTCAGGTTGGAGGCTAACGTCCGCAGTAATAAAACTGTAAACAGCAATGTCGTGACAGAGTCTGAAGTGCAGACAGCAAGCAAAGCAAAGCGTGCTGCTTATAAACCGACCCATAGTGCTTCAAGCACTTTCTGCGCAGTTTACAAGTTAATGATGCAGGCTACACATTGCTTCCTCCCCCCTCCCAAGCTGGGTACTCATTATAGAGACCATAGAAGGATAGAAAGCTGAGTTAACCTTGAGACGGCTACCTGGGATTGAACCCTGGAGGCGTGAGCACAGTTTTGGATGCAGTACAGCAGTTTAACCACTGCGCCACGAGGCAGCATGATCTCAGCTTGTCACCAAGGAGTCACCAAAGCAACACAGGCAAGTGTCTTTATGTAGATCAGCACATCAGTTCTTGCACTTTTCATCTCTACCGAGGGCAGATCTTCTGTAGAGTTTATGGGACTTTTCAAGGCCAAACGTTTTCCAAAGGCTTGATATTACAAGGGGGACAGCTCCAGCCATATAGTGTTGCTAGAAAAATCCATTCATCCACCCATCCTAGGTAGTATAGGATAAGGATTACAACTAAGCTCTGCAGGAACAAGAGTTGCTGAGCAGCTGGCAGATGATGTGGGGCTGCCCCTTCTAATTTAAACAAGCAAGCAAACACTGACAATCTGTTCCTGCAAGCCCCGTTTGAGCTACAGCATTGCATGTGGGCTCTACCATGAGTCAGAACCCTGATCAGCCAGGGTTCCCGACTGAGTGAGGACTCGAGATTGGCAGAGAAGCAGGGCAAAGAGCTACCAAGATGGAGAAAATAGGGTGGAGCCCGTCTGCACAGCCTTGGAGCTAATGGGCTACTTGCCTCCTGCAAGCATGCAATTCTAACCAGGTAGGGCTATCTGGACACCCCTGTGAGTACAAAGACATGATCCAAACAATTTTCAGCACCCTCGTAAATCCCATTGATTTTTCATAGAAGGCTTTTGAAGCCTGAACTTGTGCATACTTCTTGAAATAAGTGTGCAACCCTTGTTGTTCAGCAGTGCTTGCTTGAAGTGAAGCAGGCAGAAAACTTAAGCACATACACTATTTAACTCTTCCATTGAATGCAATGGGCCTTTATAGGGTGTTTTTTTATAACTGGATGAAGCCTAATGGACTCTGGCAAGATGGATGGCCACTAATCCTGTAAATAAATTTTTTAAAAAGTTCTCAGCCCCTTGGCACCAGTATGTTCTTCACATCTGAGTAAATACATTGGTATAGTCCTGCCTCAAAATATTCTGCAGCCTAGGGAGAAAAGGGGACGTGGTGGCGCTGGAGGGACATGGTGGCGCTGTGGGCTAAACCACAGAAGCCTGTGCTGCAGGGTCAGAAGACCAAGCAGTCGTAAGATCGAATCCACGCGACGGAGTGAGCGCCCATCGCTTGTCCCAGCTCCCGCCAACCTAGCGGTTCGAAAGCATGCAAATGCAAATAGATAAATAGAGGGGCCACCTCGGTGGGACGGTAACAGCATTCCGTGTCTAAGTCGCACTGGCCATGTGACCACGGAAGATTGTCTTCAGACAAAACACTGGCTCTATGGCTTGGAAACAGGGATGAGCACCGCCCCCTAGAGTCGAACACGACTGGACAAAAATTGTCAAGGGGAACCTTTACCTTTACCTAGGGAGAAAAGACAAAATAGTGCCTTCCTTAAAGGCACAGAAACTGGTGAGACAGCAGGACCAGTCCTGTGAATCCTTAGCACTGTACGATATTACCTGCCCTGAAAACGTTGGAACTGGTGTTTTCCAGTTGATTTCTGGAAAAGAAAGAGCTACAGAGAGAAAACGGCCTATCAGTCAGAGTCTTTTGAACTAAAATAATCCCATGTTTTCCCTATGAATATCAAGGTGTGATCAGATGGACATGTCTTGCTGTTTAGACCACTGCAAGGATGAGCAGGTTAGCTCCTTTTACAGGTGAGCAAAGTTCAGGGGCTATTCTTTTTTAGGTGCAGGTAGAATAATTCCATTTTGGTTTGTTTCCAGAACATGCAATTGTTGGGACTGAACCAAAGCAGAGTTTGTGGCTTTAATTTACCCTTCTCCTTTCAGTTTCCCAATATTAAGCCACTTAAGAAGACAGCTTAGCCCCTTCACAATATTGGGAAATTAAACACTTCCTTTTCCCCTCTGTGGAAGGGTAGAGAAAAGCAGCAAAAGTATTTTTCCCCAAGGTCTCTTAAAATAGTACTGATGTGCTATATAGCTTAGAATGTTTTCTTTAATTGAAAGCTTCTTCCCTGAAGAAGGAAAGCGCAAGGAGTAAGATTGCTGTAGTCATTGTTTTCACTATATAGCTTAGAATGTTTTCTTTAATTGGAAGCTTCTTCCCTGAAGAAGGAAAGTGCAAGGAGGGAGATTGCTGTAGTCACTGTTGTTTTCATAAGGGAGGTGGGCCAAATAGGGTCACTTTTTGCTGTATATACCATATGATAAGGGAGGTGGGTCAAATAGGGTCACTTGTGCTGTATATAGCATATGGGTGCAAGGACTGCACCAAATGGCATACCCAACCTCTACCCAACCTCAAATGACCCTATTTACTCCACTCCAGCCCATTCCGATTGAGCTGTGTAGACAAGCCCATGGTTGCATGAGAGGACCATCAACAACTTGAAAAAGTTACTTTTTGGATCACAGCTACCAGAATTTCCTAGCTACCATTGCCACTGCTGGCTATACTAGCTGGACGACTTTAAGAGTGAGAATCTAAAAAGCAACATTTCCAAGTTCTGGGATAATTACTTTCAGATGATTATTACTTCCTTGAACAAGACGGACCTTTGAGCTGATCCATTAACAGGATCCTCTTCTAGTCTATCACCTTCTCAACCTGCCTTGCAAAATACTGTGGGAGGCAGGGCGTAGTGTTAAGATGCTTGCCTAGTTTTACTCTAATCCTGCAGGACTTGTTGTAAGTTCTTTTGTCTGGCTGCAGAAATGTAGTGGTTATTATTATCAGAGCTTTGAAAAGTTGCTTTTATAAAACTACAATTCCCCAAATCCTTCAATGGCTGGTGGCCATTTTGGCTGGGCAATTCTGGCAATTAGAGTCCAAAGAGAGAGAGAGAGAAGGAGAGAGAGAGAGAAAAAGAAAGTTTCGCAACCTCTAGCTATTATTGTCATTGTTAACGATACCAGTAATATTCCATAAGTTCCAGAGCTTTACCTGTAATATCTCAATTTGGGGAGGGGAGGTATTAACTTCACCAGGGAAGCTGGTGCAGGCTACAGCCTACTGATCCAGCCCCTAACCTCCATGTATTCTGTACTACTTGCATGGAGCCCACATACAAGCGCTTGAACATGTGTGAATTCAAACAGATAGAAACCCTAAAATGTGCAGTCTGCAATGCATGCCTTTCTACTGCACCAGACCCCAGGAACTATGAACATTTTACTTTACACATGTAGACTCAATGCAGACTGTAAGCTTGAACGTGTGGAGGCTAGAAGTTAAACCGAAGCTGATCTCCCTTTTCTGTGTCGTCATTGTGCCCTAAACCAGTGGTTCCCAACCTTGGTGCTCTTGGACCGCAACTCCCAGAAGCCTTCACCACCAACTGTTCTGGCTGTTGTTTCTGGGAGTTGCAATCCAAGAACACCTGGCTTACCCAAGGTTGGAAACCACTGCTGTAAACAATCCAAAATTCACGAGTTGAGGCTTTCATTACACATTTCTGGCTGTTGTTTCTGGGAGTTGCAATCTGAGAACACCTGGCTTATCCAAGGTTGGAAACCACTGCCGTAAACAATCCAAAATGCACGAGTTGAGGCTTTCATTACACACCAAGTTTTGTGAGAATGCACAAGCTGTTTAGCTTACTTCACCTGGAAGACCCTTTCTGTGTAATTCCAAACCTTGCATGTTTATACACCAAAGGCAGCTGGTTCAAAAGGAGACGCCACTTACCTTCCTTACCTCACCTCTTTGGATCTACAGAATCATTATGGGTTAAGTCAAGACCCCCTTACCTAACATTTTCACAGTTTGCCTGTTGTACTTGTCCCTAATGGATGTCTTCGGCCCAATGTCCTTTTTTTTCCTCCTCCAGAGTTTCCTCACAATGAGACTGTAAAGGACAGTCAAGCAAAACACAGGTAGGAAAAAAAAGATGCTAGAGGTCCACACCATAATAGTCAGGAGCCCCGACTGGATCGCATACTCTGTGGTTCGGCATTCACTGGTGTCCAATGGATCGGTCCCGTTCTCATGCTCCACCCCAACCAAGACAAAGATGGGGCCTGCGCTGACAAAAGAGATGGCCCAGAGCACTAGAATGACCAACTTGACTTTGCCCTTGGTGATCACCACCTTGGCCCAGAGAGGAAAGCAGATGGCAAAATATCTCTCCACGCTCAGGGCGGTGATGTTGAGGATGGTGGAATAGGTGCAACTCTCGCTGACAAACTGGAAGAGCTTGCAGAGAACATTCCCAAAATTCCAGGGCCGGTACTGCCATAGGCGGAAAAGATCCAGGGGCATGCACAGAAAGATCAACAGATCTGAGAAAGCCATGCTGGAAAGGTACAAGTTGGTGGTTGTCCTCATATCTTGGAATTTGGAGACCACTAGCATGGTCATCATGTTTCCGAGAATCCCAATCACAAAGAGGAGTCCGCAGGTGACGGTGACGGCAGTGAGCAGTGGCACAGGGAAGAGATGCAGAGGGTACTCAGGCCACGTGTCATTGTCGTAATCCATGACAAACGGCAGGTTGCTGTTGTTGCGCATCCCTAGGGTCTAAACTGGACACATTTAAGCTGGTAATCCCATGGGGGGGGTGTCACATCAGCTGTTTATCATGTCTGGGAGGAGCAAGGCAATAGCGGCAGCGGTAAGAAGGGGTGTTAGGTACCCGGCAGGTGCTCTAATACAAAGAAAGAAAGAAACCAAACTAAGTCATGAACAACATGGGGGGAAAATACATCAAGGTAAAGCAGAATTACAGACTCCGACTTCCCTTGAGGCCAAATACGCAGTTGATTAACTAAGCCATCCGAAAGAGAAATCTCCCCAGTTTGTAAGAATGCCTCAAATTACTCATAGGTTAGTTCACATGTAAAGTTTATTGCTTGATCACTCCACATTCAGTGATGTCTGCCAGCTGCCGGAGATGGCTTCCTAAAGCACCCCTCAGAAAAAATTACAATTTATAGTGTGTCAATTTTTTCAAAAAAATGTCTTGTGGCACCATTAAAATCAACAGCTTTATTTTCACATGAGCACTTGTGGATTATAATCTCTCAGACATCTAAAACATGTACTCTCAGTCCTGCAAGATATTCTCCCTCTCTCTCTCCCTCTCTCTCTCTCTCTCTGCTGCAACAATGACTGACCTTGTGAAAATGGAGGAGGATGCAACACGCTATCTCTGTCTATGGTGGTCCATTTACATACACAAGCCATCACCCAATGGATGCTGCAGCACTCGGGCAACAAATACATGAATGGGAACTGGGCCATAACATCAAAGACTCCATAAAATCTCTGACTAACTTCCTTTCCCAAGGTGAGATCTTCTATGCACATGCCATCTGCCCCTTCCAGCCCAGAGCACAGGTAGCTAGAGAAAATGTTGATAGAGACCATTTGGACGTTCAAGCCATGTCACATACAGCATGGAAGACACACACCACGATCACCACTATTATCAGGAATTCCCCTCTTTGATTTCCACAGGTACGCCAGATCATCAGTGTTCGTGTTGTACAATGGTACAAGGGCAGCCTTTCCCAACCTAACACCGTCTTGATCCATTTGACTACAACGCCCATTGTTCCCAGCCAGTATTGCTGGGGGCCAGTAGGGTTTCAAACCCGAGACATATTCAAAAAGAGAAGTGTGAAGGCTGAATTACACCTGCTGGACTAACCAGAGTGATTAAAGTTCAGCACCTGCCCAGAGGCTAACTTGCTTGGTCAGGTCATTTTTTGCTCATAAGCCCTACCTTACAGGACTGTTGTGAAGAAGGAGGTACACACCAACAAGCTAAGTGAGCCCTTTGAAGAAGAGTAACTTACGATCAGATCATTTGTCAGCAAAACAACTAATCATAATAAAGAAAAACGTAATATATCTGTTAATATTAAAGGTGCCACGTGACTGTCATTTTGAATGAAAGGTGTGGCGGATACATGCAGGAAATTTAAAAAAAAACAGAAAAGGAAAGCAGGCATAGAGTAGGCGACGCAGTCACTCACCTGCAAAACTCTTCCGAACCTGCTTGGAACTTTTCAACTCGCATCAAAGACACGTGTTTGCGTGTTTAGCCACCCATGTTTTTTTTATCACCGCCACTGTTTATCCACCCCTGAGCAATGCGCACCAGCCATCGAAGGAAAGTGACCATCGCTACAAAACAACGAACGCAGCGGCTGAGCGACAAGACACCCGGCTGGGAGAGCGAGTTCGCAATCCTGAAGCGGAGCCTCGCCTGCCTACTTCTCACCCGGGAGAAAGCCCCTTTGAACTCTCTGACACTTAACTTCCTTGTATCCATACAGGACGACGGGATCGCAACCTTTATTTGAAAGGGATGGGATTCCCCTATTAGCCGCTGTAACTATAGTTCTTTAAAAACAAAAAGCTGTTCGGGGCAAGCGGTTACTTTATTCCCAGAGTCAGGCATCTCGTTTCCGTTCAGAGATCTAACAGGCAAAGGGGGCAAAATATTGCCTTGCAAAATACAGTATCGAAAAGATGCCGAACCCACGCCTCGGCCTCCCTTCACCTGGGAAGGTCTGCGTCCCAGCTCCACCTTTCCTCCTACCGGCGCCGGGGGCCCCCTGGCAGAACCGGCTCCCTTTGGGGCGAAACTCGGGGGGGGGAATCCCGCGATCCGCTTGCTTTGCCCCCCCCCCCCGCGGCTGCCAAGCCGATGCAGGTTTCCTTAAGGACCTGGTCCACGCGGCTCCAGGCAAGGCGCCGCGGAAAAGGGAGGACGAGAGAAGGGAGGACTCGAGGAACGCCGAGCACGTGCAGAGCGCTTCCTCCATCGCCCCCCCCCAGGGACTTCCAAGCGGCGCTGCCAAAATCTGAGGAGAAGAAGGACTTGCAAACGGGAAGGAAGGAAGGAAGGAAGGAAGGAAGGGCGAACTTACTGGCAGGATACGGCCCAGGCACCACCATTCTCAATAGGCGAGGAAGGGCGCGCTAGCCCCCTGCCCGGCGGGGAAGGCAGGATCCGAACCCACTCTCGGCGTTTGAAGCCTGTGCCCGTCGAGACGCCACCACGTCCCCTCTGCCGGCTCGGCGG